AACCTATTATTAATGAGACTAACAACCATTCAGAAAACAAAAAAAAAATATCACGAAAAAAAGTAAATCTCCATAAATGCTATAATTTTTTTCATACAATTTTCTAAATAAACTTACTAGTTATTTGTTTGAGAACCATCACAGCTGATTTCAGAGTGTTCAAAGTCCGTCGACGCAAATTTTTCTTACGAGAGAAACTTTCCATGTCTATGTCCACGGACATTTTACTTTGTTTATCTTAATTAATTATATGAGTCCTTTCGTACGCGAGAACACCGTCAAACTACGTACTGTTGAGAATGTTGGGGAAATACTATTAGAAGACCGTCTACATCCTCGGCTCAGACGTATGTGTCCAAAGAATATAGAAATACATAGAGATACATTTATATTTATAGAAAACGCTAAGGTGAATAATGTTTGTAAATAATTTCTTTACATTCAATATTACATATTTTACAATAAACTTTTAATAGTACCATAATACAGAAAGCGTTTAAATAATATTTGAATTGTCTAAGAAGCAACGTTTCAAATATTTGCTATTAATTTATTTATTTCCAACTTGCTTTCGCCCGCGTCTCCGTCCGCGTGAAATTAAAAAAGTAAGTAGCCTATGTATTCTTCCAGACTATTCTCTACAACTGTGCCAAATTTCATCGAGATCCGATCAGCCGTGTAGGCTACAAACTCTAATAAACATCCATGCATCCATCTAAACTTTTGTATTTTTTAATTTACTAATATTTCCTTTAACCATTCCAACTAAGCTCTAGGCTTGTGCTAGGATTTGGTTCACGACAATAGTCGAATGGCGGTATTCGAACCCTAGACCGTAAGATCGATAGTCCGTACTCCAAACCATTAGGCTATTGACGCTATTTATAATATTAGTTAGATTATATGATAGTTACATTGTTAAAATATTAATTTAAGCTTGTCGACTCTATGTATTCCGCAATGTATTTAGAGATTGGCACCTGATGAATTTAAGGCCTATTTTCCGCGAGGTTAGTGTGATGCGCACTGTATAAACGCGCGGACGTTTAGTAAACAATCGTTCTATTTACAGAGGCGGTCGTCAGCTTCATTAGCCATTGCAATCTAACTCTTTGTTGTACGCATACATTATACAAAATCAACTATAACACCTTTTTATCGTATAGAAGTTCTTTCTTTTGTTTTTTTTTATTAGAGTATGCTTTCTAAACATTTTGACGTAAACATAGAATTGAATGATAGCAGTTTACAACGCTAATATTATTCCTCATTTTTTCGTTTTCGTTTATTTTTCTAAATAGAAGTTAGTGTTTTGTCGAAGATTATTAAATTATTTTAAATATATACTGACCATTAAACTCATTCCAACATTTCTGTGTATAGGATTGTCGCATGAATAATCAATATTCCATGTCATATAAATTTGTAGATTATTTACGCAGTATATAAACTGATATGAGTATAACCGATGTGATCCGTATGTCATACGACCTAGAGTCGAAAATGATTTCTAACATTAGACGTTGGAAACAATGAAATGTTTAAGCTTTTGTACTAAAATATAAGAACGGAAAGGTCTATATGTTAATGAGTAATAAAAGTCGTCGACGTCGAATTTTAGCAGCTTTGTTTAGCTACGTGTGTAAAAGTTGGCTGAAAATAAAATTAAATTTTTGTGTAATGTACACAACTTAACAGAAAAAAAAATTATTTTTGAGCTTACAGTTTAAAGTTATTAGTTAAAGATTTCAAATTACGTGATTATAAAACCTTTTTTAAGATCAGTCAGTTGTTGATTTTAACAGGCCAAGAAGTTTGTTTACTAATATGTGACGTCATATGACAGTTAGGAGCGTTTTGACGAGACTGCGTAGCTAATTTAATTTACGTTTTTTATCAAAACTTTGAGTTGATATTTTGTTTTAATTTTTCGTTGTTATATGGGATAAATATAAAATGGAAATAAAGGCCATTCCAAAAATTTTGGCCTTTACACTATTACGACTACTACTACTTCTATAAATAAAGAATTAATTGTAAAATAATTAATTAATACTAATGTTATTTCAAATAAACTAAATTAAAGTAAAAATAGAAGCACTGGGAAAGTGACTAATGTTAGAATTTATATTGATAATACGAATTTATGTAAGTGCGCAAAATCTAAGCATAGGTAGATTTTTTAAACAATTATTAAAGTATTTTAAATATAAGAATACATTTTCGCAAATAAAAACTCAACAGCTTTTGATGTAGCGTTAGAAATGAAGCCACTTTCTTGAAGCGGTCTTGGCCGGACTCAGTACTTACTACGAAATGCAAAAAGAAACGAACAAAGCGTTTCCACAATGAGATCCTTGCCAACCGCTCTGTCTCGCAACCTTATTTGTTTCACGTGCATACCGTGTTCCCTTTACCTTTTTTCCTAACCTCAATTTTCCAACTCTCAACTTTAGAAAACAGTTCATACAGCGTTCTTTTTTAACCACTGGTTTAGTTACATTGTAAATTAAAACAAACATAAACAAGTTTCCCCATGTCAGTTTAACAGTTGCCTATCAAAATTCAATTGACCAATTACTCGTTTAAAATTCACTTTATAAATTATGCTCCAACGTTAACCACATTATTGTAATGAGTTTTAGGTAAACCGCGAAGTAAATAAATAAAGTAATAATTGTCGTTTAATTTCCATTCTAAATAATCGATCTAATCGAATGAAAAACAACCATTTTCTCAAGGATGAAATTGATGTTCGTAATCCGAAATCGAGTTGAAATATGTTTATCAGTGAATGTCTATAGTTGAACAAAACCGACTAGTATATTGTTAACGTAGTAGCTAGTACTGGATCAGTGTGAGTTAGACACAATTTGGCAACAAATAAACATAGTAATGGTTGGCGACGTGTTTACTTTCATCTCAACAGTGCACGTGTGTTTGTGATCATTTCCATTTATCCATCAATTCCCTATAGCTTACTCAACAAACACAATATAAAATTGATTATACCTTCATAAATAAACACACATTTTAATAGTTATATGACAACGAACAAGCCTCCACCGTAATTCAGCTATATAGCGAAGCGACCGATATAGAAATAAGCAGATTTAAATTTTAATTACTTACAAAGTCTGCATTAACCATAAATCAATTATTTACAGGACAAATACAAACAGATATGTTTAATCGAAAAATGTAGGAATTGCAATTTAAATCGTATAAAGCATACCCACGTTTCAACACTTTATTTAATTAAACGGATAACAATCGATTCCCAAACATATTTCGTTCACGTTACGAAAATAGATTCAAATACTGTTTGATTTTCAATTATAGTAATTAAACGACAATCTCGTTAATTCCTTAATGTTGTCTTGCTTTAGTTATATACTATTATTTATTGAGAAAATAGGAAATGATTATATCTACACATAGAAGAATGACGTCATGAACCAATCCCGCTTTTCGTACAAGTCTTTTCCCCTTTCTACTCTTTTTATACAAGGAGGCGAGAGGAATGGAAACTGGATTTCGCGTAGGAATTCACGCAAAGGTAGATGAATACCCCTTTTCTGTAAGTCCTGTTCTCTGTTGATTAAAAGTAGGTAACTACTTTGACAAATTACATTATCCGCTTGCTCGTTTGACACCTTATGCTATAACAAATACTATGACAGTTTTTACTAAAAAGTCTCTATTTCTTAGACTCTTCATTTTATAAATGTAAATACTTGTAATGTAAACTAAGTATTAATTTACTTAATTGCAAATATTTTTTTTTTTACGGAAATCGTTTCAGTATCTACAACGAATGATTATATCTGTGACTTCATTAAAAATGAAATGAGTAGTAAAACAAAACTTCTGTCAACATTGTTGTTACGTATTTTCTGCGTTCTTAAACTGGTTTTATGTAAAGCTCTTAATTAAAGTCTGAAGAAAAACAAGCTTTCCTTAAGACACTTAAGAAAGCAAAGGTCGCGAGCGCCTTCAATAACAGAAGAAAACCTTCAATAACGAAATCTCGTTTGAATTAAGCTTCCAGTCTGAATACAAATCTAAGATTTTTCTTAACAATGTCACATTTTTCTTTTTATCTGTTTTATCTTACTTTCTTTACGATCTATCCTCGTTTTTTATATTTTAATGTTCACTTCAATATTTGTAATGTTTGCATTTTTAGAATAAAAACTTTTACATATACAGATAACTATTTTCGTTCACTAATTGACAGATTTTTCGATCAGGAGTAACATATGTACTGGTACTCTTTGTACAGATTTAAGGGTTCAATAAAACGTAGCTTAACCTTAGTCTAGTAACATGAGTGTAGTGTTAACAAAATGTTAATTTTAAATTTGCATAACAGTCTACTACAAAGTTAATGCATTGCATATTAATAGGGACACTGGGCTCTCAAGCATTTAATTCCAAATTATCCTTCGTTCACGTGGGTTTCTCTTGAGCTAGCAAAGATTAGATTTTCGTCGTAGTTTTATCTAATTTAATTGGTATAAGCTCCTAACGTTATAAATTTGGAAATAGCAAGAGAAATGTAATAAGTATGTTGAGCTTCATATGTTTGTTGTCGAGAGACAAAGTATTGGTTTCTATTAATAAGAACGTGTGCTCGTATATGCATCGAGACGCTATTACCGTGATAATCACAAAGTATGCTTTACAATTAAATTTTAAACTTGGCAGGAGCTATAATTTCACTATCCTTAGTAATTACCCGATAATTTGCTTTCAAATTTAATATAAAAATGTAATAATGAATACAACAAACGTTTCTAAGTAAATGTAAAGACACTTCATTGACAGTAATGAACGTCGTAAAGACACATAAACGCAATAATCGTAGGAAGCAATTGTGTAGAAGGGATACATTCAGAGGTGAGGACGTGTAATGGAATTAAGCAGTTAACGTATATAAAGTTTCCGTTGAAATTCAGGACAAGCGAATAATTAAAGTACATTGTCGAATATATTACCGAGAGCGAACTTGACGCCGGTCCACGCGGTGCGCACATAGTGGAAGAAGCGGCGGTAGAGCGGGCGGTGGCGCCTCCGTCTAGCGGGCACCTCCGCGTCGGGCGCGGGCGAGGGCGCGGGCCCGGCGTCCCCGCCCCCGCCCGCCTCGCCCTGTACCGGCGACGCCGTGGCGTTGCGCACCCAGCGCTACCACACGCTCCCGCTACGCTAATGGAACCGCACCACTATCACGCACGCCGCACTCCATTGTTATAAGTCACAAAAGGTATCGATCATCGACTACACGATGTCCAAGTTTATTGCAACAACTTTCACTCTTTAGTTCCAGCACTAAAACATTTAATAAAACAATATATCTTTAAACACTCGCACGTTTCACGAAACTAATTAAACTGGGGACGTCTGCAGCGTTTCATAATTGCGAAATGATTACTGTTTATTAATACTCAATGTTACGTAAACCAACTATTTTAGAACATTAATATTATTAATGACACTTACAAACGAAATGTACAATTGATCGATGACTACAAGATAGTTAATGTTTGTCACACACGTTTTCTACTGTGTTTATTTCACACAAGGAGAAATGCAAAGCGAAAGAGTGATGCAGAGCCGCGTATCTGTGGACAAAGAGATAACAATGTTAGTCATATTAGCAGTAAATAAAGAAAGAACGACTATAGAAGAACAAGAGATCTTATTAGTTATTTTAAGATATAATGCATACATGACCAGAATAGCTGGATGGGGTACAATTTAAGAACAAGACCCCAGTATTTTAAGATAAATACATGACTTATAATACAAAATGCATGTTCATATACAGGAATATTCCTCGGGCAAAATGTCCATGTGCACTAGTATAAGTATATAATCTATTTTATATGTACAATACTAACTTAGACTAAATTAAATTTTACTAACAAAATATAGTTTTTTTTTTTAATAAATAAAAAAAAAAACCAACGATTGTCTTCTTTACTGTGGCTTTGTATTTAATTTTTAAACTAGTTTTCCTTTTTGAATTAAAAATAACTAAGATAGTAGTAATCGTACCTATTGTATCTGTTTATTGAAATTTAACTGATACAAAACAGCACGAGAGCTCGGTCTAGTTCTATTCTAGTCTTATTCTAGATTATTCTGTACTGAAAGTAACATTTGTTAGTTAAGTTAATTAATAATCAGATTATGAGTTAGAGCTTTGTGAGCATAACGATTTACGTTCTAAGGGCAACGCAAAACTTCACTAAGTAAACCCACAGAAGTTAGAATTCAGTGTTCGGTTGGTTCATGAATTAAGACGTTACGTTTGTTGACTGTTTACATTGTATTTGCATCAGAATTAAATCCAGAGAGACGCCTTTACAAATGAACGTAAAACGTGGGCATATAACGGAGCAAGCTATTTTGTTTAAAGTGGGTGACACTGACGATACGTATGCATTCTGTTTTTGTTTTGTATCTATACTAATATAATAAACCGTAAATACACATTATTTCGTGGCGTAGGATGTCAGCAATCGCAGCATATTTTTGAATAATTCTTTCTTTAATAAAAAGCCCTACATTTACGACATGCTTTTGGCTATATATATATTTACACACACAACAAACAATACAATGTTTTTTATAAATTCATACGGATGAAGAAGCATGAGAAAAGCTAGCTAATTTTAAAATACAAAACATATCTTTTGAATATGATATGATGACTATGAGCATGGTCTAATCACTTCTAATTTGGCGTGGGAGTAATGTGTCCTTATGTCGTTACTGAAAGTGATGTAATTTTATTATCATCTGCAAGTTACATGGAGCAGGTATCACGAGGTGTGTAGGTAGTCTTATATAAATCACGTTGCGGAGAACTCACTTCAGTATGAGAGCCTGTCACAGTTTTATATAAGAGGGGACAATGGGTCCGCGGAGAGTGCCGTACAAACTTTGACAATAGCACTTGTGTCGAAGTGTTACAGCATTTTAGACCGTAAATTGAGGACGCGTAAGCAATTTGAGGCGTATAAACATTTGTTTGTCTATAAATTAGACCATGTGTCACTGTCACGACAAAGTGCCGCAGAAATGAAAGGATGCTTTGCAATAATCTGTGAAATTGTCGTTTTAGTGGTTCTTTAGTTTAATGTAAAGTTTTTTTGCATATTTTCGTTAAACAAATTAGAGCTATAAAGAAGTAAATGTGACATTACAAAGTGAATAAATTGTTTTTGGTCCAATTTTTACGTTACCTGATTATAGGCAGAATGCCGGGCAATTACAATTTATACGGCTTAAATTACATTTTACGAGCCAGTTGTAAACAGTTCTGAATTTAAAATCTAAACAAAATTATGAATTTCAGTATCGTAACTTGATTTGCAGAGTTATACGCAATTACCGATTTTAATCCTACTTATGTTCCTGTCAGTTGCCTGATAATTTTATTGCTTCCAGAAAGTAATGATGGGAAAAATGTATTAGGAAGCATTGTAGAAAGCAAATTTCTGATGTTATCGTGGTAGGCTTATAGAAGGTAGATAAGTTTATCTGAGAACTTACTATTGAAAATTGTTAAACATTTTCTAAAATCTTAGTCAACTGAAATTGTTGTCGAAGACCATTGAAATTGCAACATATGTAACTATACTTTTAAGCAAAAGTACACAGTTAAAACTTACAAGTGTAAATATTATATTCGCTTCCCAACCAAATATTGTCATTGTTTTTTCATATAAACGAAGTGTCAAATACACTCCAATTGTGAAAACCAACCTGTTTCGTATTTTAGAAAGCGATTTTGCATTGTATTCGAGTAATAGAGCCACCGCCACCGGCTACAGAATAACAACGAGGTAAACTTTACTGTTTTCCATGCTAATCGCAACGAATTTACAACGAATACAAATATAGAATCTACCAATACGACAGTCATACTGAAACTCAATTCAAATTGAAATTTAATCTTCAACATATAAAATAATAAGTTAAAAATTATTTATTCTGTTATTGGGTTGTTTCCACATCGCCTCACTCAACTTCCTTCCTTCATCTGTTTACTTCCTCAGTCCACTACAATATATCAAATCAAATCAGACGGGTTGATAGAGAGAATTTAAAAGATATCTAGTTATTACTATACCAAGTTTTGCAATGTCCAATTTAAATGTTTACCTTAACTCTGTTAATCGTCCTTGCAATTGGTTAGAAAGTATCTTTTGCCTCCTAAGTCTGCTTTACTTCGTCTTATACAACTTTTATTAACAAAACAAATTCGGAAGTACGGAGAGATAATATCGCTAAAGTTCATGACGTCATTATTTATTAGTGTGATAATGTTAATTATTATATTATCAAATAATAAATAATTTGAATTAATGATTAGTAACTTTTTAATCCAAAACTTACATTCATAATCAAAGGTGCTCATTGAAGATGCGAAAATAATCTGAAAACCAATAAAAGAATATAAAGTATTTTCCAAAATAGTTACTCAAATTAAACAGATCTGAACTTTGTATCGTAAATGTAAAACGCATTTCACACAAGTCCTGTGTAAATCCTGAACGAAAGTAAAGTCATTGCGACTTTATGATACGACACTGTAAATTCGTGCCGCTGGATTGCCGGCAGCTTTGAATCTGTGTCAAGCATCTGCGCGAATTCTTGAGTTTTAGAGTAAACCGCCAATTATTCCTCGAAAACAACGCTTACCCTCGACAATGACCGGAGAATAGAATAGCTTTTTTAAGTACCTGTCTGGTAAAAGTCGAGACAGAACACAGAACTTTTGTTATTGATTTTTTTGTCATTGTAGTCAATACTGTTGTCAAACAAATTAGCAAAGAGATTAAAATGTATAGAGAAGACGTAGATAGAACAACTTAAAATATTTTCCCATAATCATCACCAACGCTGTCTGATGACAGATTCCTAAAAACGCATGTCAATGAAAAAATATTTTATTTTTGGATTTACTTTGTTAGAATAAGACGTTGATAATAAAGGCAAGTCATTTCTAAATCTGGACGTTTGTCATCAACTTAAATGTTTTACTACGTGTCAATAAAAAGATACGAGGTGGTGTACTACACTTGACAACTGACATAGTACCGTTTAGAGAAAGTAACAGTGAAAAAATTTAGTTCACTGTGCCTCATCTATATATTATTTAAATGTCTTTGGTTGTAGACTGAAGATTTACGTACTCCAAAAACCTCAAAGCAATTAATGGTCGGGTTAGCAGGGAATGACGTGCGATCAATCGTCGTTACGTCAAACTTACCCAACTCCAATTTAACTTTCGAAATCATCTTGTCTTCGAGAAAATTTTAACTATACAAATCAAAAGTTTAATAGATATGTCAAGAGTTTTTTCTGTTCGATTATTATCGTTTAAAGGCTCTAAATATTCGATGAATCTGTTAAAGAATAATCTTAAAACTCTCTTTTAGTTACAATTTTTTTTTGCACTTACAACATACTTCATAGGAATTACATAAATGCGAAAGTTTGGATCGATGGGTGGATGGATGTTAGTTAGAGTTTGTAGCCTAAATGGCTAAATGAATGGAATTTAGCATAGATGTAGAGCATAGTCTGGAAGAACACATAGGCTACTTAGTTTTGTTTTTTGTAATTCCACGCGGAAAGCTAGTGTATAAAATAAAACACGATTAACAATGAAGTATATACTCTCCTTTAAACTTCTTATGAATATAATAAGCATTGTTTCCACGATATAATAGCTAATTTATCTAAATGTAGTCCTAACCCACTGATATTTTGTTATTTTCCTACGTTCGACCTAATTCATTTTACTCGCCAATTTATTTTGGAGCACGATTTAAATTACCATGATTGCCAATTTCATAATGTCCTGGACAATTTCGCTCGTACCCAAATAGTAGACATTTATATTTTTAGGTAGAAATTTAATTACGTTGTAATAAATGAGACAGAGGACATTGTCCTAAAGAAACAGTAAAAGTTTTCTCTGCTAATAAACCTTTATAAAAGACGTCTCGATTATTTGTATTTAAGACATTGCAATAAAATTACAATACTGCTTTATAAGGTTTCAAAAGCCTTTCACTTAAACACTAGCTGCTGCCCTCGATTTTGTCCGCGTAATATTAAGAAAAAAGTAGCCTCTAATATGCCTGTCTATGTCAGCTACCCTTCAG